AATTTAAAATAGCTAAAGTATAATTTTATCTTATGTACACTTTACCACAATACAAACAGTAAAAATAATTTTTAAAAGCAATGCAGGACAGCTGAAAGAGTCTTAAACCAAGACAGACAAGATCAAACTGAAGCATTGGTTAATTATACAGTCTTAGTTGTTTTCACTGCTGACAGAAAAAGGTTGTAATAAATGATGTCAATATTTGCTTTCAGTTCAAAACATTCTATAAAAGTACATCATAATACAAGCCTGAAGAACCAAAGCTGGAAATTAGGTTGATGCCACTAAAATGAGGATAATGAAATTAACACTCTTGTAAATTCTTAGGAGTTTTAAAATACTCAATAAAAAAAAAGTTAATCACAAAAGCAGACAGAAGAATAAAAGCCAACATTGGAAATTAAGATACAAACAAGGTCTTTTTCCAGTAGCATTAAAAGCAATCAACTAGGTTTGAGCCTTCTACTCTGGTACAATTAATGGCAGGGCAGTTGAACAAACTAAGCCCTATGTGGTTACTTATTATTTATTTGCCTAACAAATATTATAGGCTTTTCTTATTTTTTTTTCTTTTTAAAGACAGCATCTGACTATGTATTTCTCAGGCTGCCTTCTAACATCTGGGCTCAAGGGATGCCTCAGCTTCTATTCACACTTAGACTTGAAGGTCTCAATTTCCATTAAATTTGAAAAGATTTTTTTTCCCCCCTGGTGATATTCTGAGCTAGGACAGAAAAAAAGAGCTTCAGTTTCAGTTCTAGGGAAGCCAACTAATCAGTACATGCCTCACTTGAACTTCAGATACTAGATCACACCATGAACAACTAGAACCAAGTTCAAAATCTTTTCATTAACACCAACTCAAAGACAGACTCCACTATAAGGATATCCCTCCTACAAGCAGACTGTTCAGCATTGTCGCTAGTTAAAATCAAGCTAGCTAGCATGGGGCTAAGGAATTACTCAATATTAAAGAGAAATATATATTCTCATTTTTAAGTATGACAATGACTTACTAATACTTTTAAGGTTATTGTTTATATGTCATAAGCTATTATCAATTAGCTTATGACATATAAGCAATAATAATGAAAAAGAAATATTCTTTTTTTTTTCTTTTGATCAGTCATGGGGCTTGAATTCTGGGCCTGGGTGCTGCCCCTCAGCAGTTCAGCTCAAAGCTAGCACTCTACCACTTGAGCCACAATGCCACTTCTGATTTTCTGTGTGGTTTATTGAAGATATGAGTCTCATAGTCTTTCCTGCCCAGGCTGGCTTTGAACCACAATCCTCAGATCTCAGCCTCCTGAGTAGCTAGGATTACATGCATGAGCCACCAGCACCAGGCTTGAAAAAAGAAATATTCTTAAACAGAAATTCAAGTATGTACTTTACATTAAATTTTTGATTCAATTTTTAAAAATTACTTTGAAGGACACTTCAGATCCACACCAAAGGGGGAAATAAAGAAGGCAAGAAATTGCTGGGTTCTCAAGAGGCTGACATCTGAGGACTGCCACCCTAGGAATGAAACTGCATGAGACTCTTATTCCAATTAATCACCAAAAAGCTAGAAGTGGAGAATTCAAGGGGGGAGGAGGGAGGGAGAGAGGGGGAGGGAAGGAAGAAGGGTGGAGGAAAAGGGGACTTAAAGCTGAGAAAATCTGACTGCCTTATTAAGTACATTCTTTAAATAAAATGTTCAACCAGAGGCAGATTGTAAATTGTGCATGATAAGACTCAGAAATTGAGAATGCCTAAAATTCTATCCAAATCAATATTCACTAATTCTATGAGATCAGTATTATAATCTCTACATACTATTGACTAATCCTAGCAAAGTTCATTTATCATCTTTAGTATTTATTAATCATTATTATAACTGGCCAGCACAAAAAAGAAAAATACTGCAATTTAAATGAATTATTTCAAAGCACTAATACTATGTAAAGGACAATAAAAATATCACCAAAATAATGTAGCAGTGCTTTTAACTACTCTCAGCATTCTCAGATTTCATGCTTTTAGCATTTAGATTTTTTTAGATTTTAGATTTCTAATTTGACAATCTTTCTATTTCTAGTAAGTCCATTTTGAATATTTTTATTATTTTAGGGAATTGTACAAAGGAATTGCCATTCAACAAAGCAGTTTATAAATACAGTGCATTCTGATGAATGGTCACCCCATCCAACATTCTTACTCACCCCTCCCAATCCTTCCCCAAATTTAGGTTATTTATGTATTAATTTTTTAATTGACTTTAGGTTACTTATGTATTCTTTTCCTTTTAACAAAGTAGTTTATGTACACAATCCATCTTGATCTGAGGCATCACTTCAACATCTTCATCCCCCTTCCCTTTTATTTCTCAATTCTGTGGTATGTCCAATGAATTCTTGCCTGCATTCTCCCCACTTCGCCCTTCATTCTTTTACTCTTCTCTCTCTCCCTGCCTCTCCCTCACCTCTTGCAAGTGTTTGTTTTCTGGTACTTATTTTGTTGGGCTTTGGCTTAGTCTTTTTAAAGAATTGCACTATTTGTCCTCTCAAGAGAGTCTATCACATTTCAGTTAATTCATTTGCAACCTTTTGCTTATCACCTAGTATGTTTACTTATGGATTTATAGACATATTCTAGCTTACCACAAATGAGGGAAACCATGCACCATGTTTTTCTGGGTCTGGCTTACTTGTTATAAGGTTTTCCAAGTCTTTCCATTCCATACAAATGATACAATACAATTCTTTCTGATGGATGAATAGAACATTGTATACATATACCATATTTTCTTGATCAGTTCATCCACTGAGGAATATCTGGGCTGATTTCATATCTTGGCTATGGTTAATAATATCCTTAAAACACATCTTATTTATTTTAGTGTTCAATTATTTATGTAAGGAATATAATTCATTTTAGAAATTTTGGCTTAAAAAATTGAGTTTTATATAGTAAACTACAGTATTTTACAGAGTAGAAATTATTTTTGTCTTATAAAAGAAAAATCAGAATATAATATTTTTCAGAAATACTTATAAAGATTGAGAATAACAGAAGGTACTATAACAAATCTCATGATATTTCTTAAGGGAAAGGAATGTAACCTTATAAAAGAAATACAGGATGGGAAGGGGAAAAAAAGGAGGAGGCAACAATGCTTGATAAGAAATGTACTCATTACCTTGCTCATGTAAGTGTAACCCCTCCATACAGTATTTTCACAATAAAAAATAAAATAAAATAATTTTTAAAAATTAAATTAAATTAAAAAAAGAAATACAAAACAAAGAAACAGATTGACCCATTGTAACAATGAGATGTACAAGATATTATGTAGAAAACGAACTTTACAACTTGAGGGGGGAAGAGGGGGGTTGGGGAAGGGATGGTAGGGAAAAAACAAGGGGGAGGTAACAATGCTCCATAGGAAATGTACTCACTACCTTATTCACTTAACTGTAACCCCTCTGTACACTATTTTTACAATAAAAAACATTTAAAAAAAAAAAAGAAAGAAAGAAAGAAAGAAAGAAATACAGGCTGGGAGCCGGTGGCTGACACCTATATTTCTAACTACTCTGGAAACTGAAATCTGAGGATTGCAGCTTGAAGCCAACTTGGGCAGGAAAAGTCTGTGAGACTCTTATCTCCAATTAACCACCAGAAAACCCAAAGTGGTGCTATGGGAAGAAAAAAGTTCAGGAACAGCACCCAGGCTGTGAGTTCAAGCCCCACAACCAACAAAAAATAAAGAAAAGAAATATAGACTATAAAATTTAGTTCAAATACAACATTTTATGTAAAGGCAAATAAAAGTTAAATCCATCTTTTTATAGTAAGTGGCCTGCAAGGACTACAAATGAATAATTATAAAGCAAAATCTGCCAACAGTAACTTTGAAATGGCTTACTTTTATAGAATTCATTTTTTAAAAAAACTTCATTACAACTACTACTTTCAGTTAATTTTCTAGATCAACTGGTAAGTTTCCTAGAAATGTGGGAATTTATCCTACAAATTTCATTTTATAAGTTATATATTATTAAAAGAACTGAAGTATTTAGATAAATTAACATTTACTTTTCTAGAAATCATGCTATTAATTAAAAAATAATGGAAAGCATATTCTACAAAAATAAGGTTAGTAATTTAAATGACAAAACAAAGACACATTCTAAATAATTGAAATAGTCTATATTTTAAAAAGAATAAAGATTTTGCTAGAAAATACTTTCATATTTAAACATTATTTCATCTACTTAAATAATGTATTTAAAACATTACATTTAACTAAAAACATACAAGTAGTAAGCATTGCCTTGTTTGTAAATGTCTTCGAATTTAAGAAAACATTATCTCTAAATAAAACGAAATAATAAGCATTAAAATTCTACTTTAAAAAAAAGAAAAAGCTACTAAACTTGTCAAATATATTGTATCTAGCTGTATTATGATGAGAATACTAACTATAAAATAATTTAATAGGGGCTGGGAAGGTGGCTCAGTGATAGAGTGCTTGCCTCACATGTATGAGAGTTCAATTCCTCAGCACCACATAAGCAGAAAAAGCTCAAAGTGGCACTGTGGCTCAAGTGGCAGAGTGCTAAGCTTGAGCTGAAGAACTGAGGGGCAGTGCCCAGGCCCAAAGTTCAGGCCCCACAACTGACAAAAAAAATTTAATAGAAAAACATGTTGGCCTTCATAGTAACTGTAACTATTTATTAAATCATTATGGCTTTTAGAAAAAGGGTACTGTATTGATAGCTTCTGCTACTATCTGAAGCAGCAACATTTTATTATACCTCCACATTGGATTAACAGTTACTACTCCATGCATAGTTATTACTATCACTAAAGATGCTGTGAGCTAACACATTTCAGACATTATAGTTTTTTGCTAATTTTGTAGACATCTAATATATGGGCATAAAACAGATACATCTGGATTTTTCCTTTTTAAAATTATAAAAGGAAAATTGACATATAATACTTACCAGCAAGTGGGGAGTTTCAGGTGTTTACCATAAAGAGCAGTGCTGAAGGAGGGAATGATTTGGACGGGTAAGCAGTAAGAACCATTATAATCCAAAGATGTCAGTCCTGCCTGGAAACCAAATATCTGAAACAAAAGGAAAAGATTCAAATGTTCACAAATGTTTAACAAGCACAAAGATAAAAAAAACATCAGTTTCTGTTTGCTATAAAACACCTTCACAATAAATATGTTCCAATGTTTTTTTCCACTTCCCTATCAATACCTTTTATTCAATTAGATATTAGCTATATCAAAATCAAGAAAAGTTAGATCAAATCATAAAAGTATGAAAACATACTATACCACATAAGTATCAAATATAAAATTAAATATTCAAGACAAAGACTCAAGCTTTTTTTTTTGCCGGTGGACCTGAACTCTGGGCCTGGGCGCTGTCCCTCAGCTCTTCAGCTCAAGGCGAGCTCTCTACCACTTGAGCCACAGCGCCACATCCGGCTTTTTCTGGTTATGTGGTGCTGAGGAATCGAACTCAGGGCCTCATGCATGCTAGGCAAACAATCTACCACTGAGCCACCTTCCCAGCCCTCAAACTTTATTTTTAAAACATTCAATACTCTATATACCAATGAAAGGTTTGTTACATATACTACTTTTCCTATATCAATGTTCCTTCAAAGAACTCATTAGTCTTTTAAAGTGCTCATATTAAAAGGGCTTTCCCACTGCTTATAAATATCATTATCAATAATAGGTAAAATTTTCAAAAATTATAATTATCATTAACTTACAAGTATCAGTCATTTGGAATTATCCAAATATACTTTTAAATAAATATATTTGTTTTATTTAAATTATATTGGAGTCATAAAGAAAGCTTAATTTATTAGAATAAATTAGAAAGCTAAATTTATTAGAATTCTACTAATTATGTGAAATTACAACCTCCAACAACAAGGAAAAGTACTCGAAACTTTCAAAGCATTAATGAAAAAGGTATTAATGAAGAAAGAAATTCACTTTCCATACCTTAAGGTAGCAGTGTGCATAGCAGTAATGAAGCAGATTATCAGAAGCTTGAGGCAGGCTGCTGACCATGTGCACTAACTGTTCTGCATACATCGGGACAGAATGTTCCATATTAACTTTATCCACCAGTATCTGAATGGATGGCAAAGGCCGAAATGACTGGAAGTTTGTAGTATTCATGAAGTTACTTGAGTTCTGGAAAATAACAGTGACCATTTTATATTTTAAGATTGCTATACATGTCCCTTTATACAAACTTCAGACTTGTATATGATGCAGTGATATATTACACATATACCTTTTCTCCCATAATGACAGGAAGCAAATGATCTAGCAAGTTAAACTCAGCCATAAAAATCGTGCAGGTACATTTAAGGAAAGTAACACTTGTATGTCGAGTAGGAATATATTCCTCCAGAGAAGCTACTTCTTCAGGATTCAGAATAGTTTGATTTTCATCTTTAATTTCTAAAATGAAAGTAACAAAAATATTTTAAAATAATTTTCTTAAATTGAAAAATGAGTTAATCATTTCCCCAAATTTTAAAGTCAAATTCCATTTCACTTTTGAGTAATGAAGCAGTTGCAAAATAAGCTACTTTAAAATGAAGTATATATTAATCTAAATATTGACGTTTTAGCCATAAAAATTAAATAACTTATTTTTAAATATTTTGAAAAGGCCTTTCTTTTTTGAAGAATAATAACTTCCACCAAATAATAGCTTAGTCATGAAATATCATTTAGATCAGGTTAAGGTGAGACACAGAGTAAGAGAAAAAATATTTGCCATCTATTTAAAGATGAAAAGATACACAAGCAGAGATCTCCACGAAGGACTTATATCCTTAGCATATTTTAAAATATAAAAATGTATAGAAATGTATAGAAATCATTCAGAAATAGACAATGCAATAGAAAAATACAAAAAACACAAAAAAAACACTTGGATGAGCAAAAGAAAATATACCTAAATGACTAAAGGTTGTACCAAATGCTAGTCAACATTATTAGGCATGAGATATGTGTAAATAGTCAAACATGATAAAGAACTACACAAAGACTAGAAATATTAAAATGAAAAAGACAAAGAATATTAAGTTTCAAAACGCATGTAGAACAAAAGTCAGTAACTTTTTCAGAGAAGAAACATAAAACACAGTTTTGTCTTTATAGACTATATGATACACTCCACTCCATCACAATTACTCAACGGTAACATTAAAACACAAAGACATATAAGTAAATACGCACAGCAATTTTCAATGGTATAAGCCTGAAACCCTGGATTTAATCCATAGCACTGCAAATAGCAAGTAAAATTTATTTAAGAAAAATCAAAATTAAATTTTGTGTAATTTTTTGATGTGGTACAACATAAATTTTTCTTATTTGTAATCATTTGTCTACAAGAAATACATCTCACTAACAAATATTTGATTTAGGGTGAAAAGATGTAGACTTAGGGTAAAAGGATGGAAATTACACAAGACATTATTGAATAACAATTGAAAAAAATCAAACTGAAGAAAATTTTTCAAAAAGTTCCTGGAATCTAATAAAAATGGGACAAAATATACCAGAAAAGGAGGTGCTAATAGGAAATTTTATAGGTATGAGTGACTATATCAAAAAATCAGAGAGATCTCAAATAGCCTAATGATGCAGTTCAAACTTCTAGAAAAGCAGCGACGTAAGATAGGATTACACCTTGTGATATGGTTCAAACCCAAAATCAGCAAACAGAAAGAAAAATAAAGATTAGGACAGAAATTATGAAAACTAAAAAATTCACACAAACAATTAAAGAAACAAAAAGTTGGCTCTTTGAAATTACTGAGACTAACAATGTCTCTAATAAAATTATGGATAAAAATATCTCTAATTAATAAACTTAGAGCTAAAAAAAAGAGAATGTCACAAAAATACCAATGACATATAAAAAGATCATGAGGGAATACTTTGAAAATCTGTATTAAACTGAAAAATGTAGAGGAAATAGATAAACATGTAGACACAGTTGACCTACCAAAATTGAATCAATCATTTAAAACATCTATAATATACAGGAAAGCCTGGGACTAGAAGGATTATTGCTGAATGCTATCAAATCTATAAGAAAGAACATCAATAATTTTCAAAGTTTTCCATAAACAATACTGAGGCACACACACACACACACACACACACACACAAACATATTTGATGAACATTGATGCAAAAATTCTCAGTAAAATTTTGGCAAACCACCTAAAATGCATTTTTAAGAATCATACACTATTATCAAGTTTGTTTTATGCCAGAGAGCAAGGCTACTTCAACATGATTAAATGAACAAAAGTAATATATCATATACACAAGATCAAAAAAAAAATCAGATGATAGTCTTTTTTTTTTTCTTTTGCCAGTACTGGGGCTTGAACTAAAGACCTGAGCACTGTCCCTGAGCTACTTGTGCTCAAAGGATAATGTTCTACCACATGAGCCACAGCATCACTTCTGGCTCCTTCTGTTCAGTGGCACTGAGGAATTGAACCCAGGCTTTATGCATGCTAGGCAAGCACTCTACCACTATGCTACATTCCCAGCCCCAATAATCTCAACTGATACAGGAAAGGCCTCTGACAAAATACAACATCCTTTCATGACAAAAGCTCTAAAGAAAGTAGGAACAAAAGAAGTGTACCTGGACTTAAAACAGCTATCACCAACATCGTATTAATAGGGTAAAAGTGAAATAATTTCCCCAAAAGTCAGGAATAGGACAGGGGTGTCAATTCTCCCCATTCTTATTTAATTTGGCACTTGAAATTCTAACCATTGCAACAGGGCAGGAAAAAGAAGAAAAAATTCAAGTAGGAAAGGAAGAAGTCAAATTATTTCTATTTGCAGATATGATTGTTTACTTAACAGAAACTAACAACACAACAAAAAAGATAGCAGGTTATAAAACCAACACTCAAAGTCCAGTAGCTTTTCTATACACTAACAATGAACACACTGAGAAAAAATAAATCAGGAACTTCAAAAACAATAGAAGACCTAGGTATTAACTCAACCAAGAAATGTGAAAGACCTCTATAATAAAAACAAGACAAGCTGGGCGCTGGTGGCTCACGCCTGTAATCCTAGCTACTCAGGAGGCTGAGGTCTGAGGATCACGGTTCAAAGCCAGCCCGGGCAGGAGAGACTGTGAGACTCCTAGCTCCAATAAACCACCAGAAAACCGGAAGTGGCACTGTAGCTCAAGCGGTAGAGCGCTCGCCTTGAGCTGAAGAGCTGAAGGACAGCACCCAGGTCCAGAGTTCAAGCCCCACGACCAACAAAAAATAAATAAATAAAAACAAATAAATAAAAAAATAAAAACAAGATGGTTTGAAAAAATTTTTTAAATATCGGAAAGAACTCGCTCATTCATGGATAGACAGAATTAATACTGTGACAAGGTCATACTACCAAAGCAATGTACAGGATCAATGCAATACCCAAAAAGTCCAAATGTCATTCTTCACAGAATAAAAAAAAAAAAATCAATTAAAAAATTTATATGGGAACATAACAGAAGTAATCCTAAATTGCAAAAGTAATGGCAGAAGTAATCCTAAATTAAAAGAACAATGCTGAAGATATATATAACTGAGATATATATAACTGAAGATATATATAACTGAGCTTCAAAATGTACTACGAAGGGCTGGGAAGGTGGCTCAGTGCTAGAGCGCTTGCCTTGCATGCCTGAGGCCCTGGGTTCGATTCCTCAGCACCACATAAGCAAGAAGAAAAAAGCCAGAAGTGGCGCTGTGGCTCAAGTG